AAAATGGTATTATATGCAACAACATATCTGGTAAGCGTTTACCCGAGTAAGAGTCGTCAGCCTCACCCTCACTTACCGGGTAAGACTCTATATCATTATTATCGCTCTTACCATGTAAGATTCTTGGGATTTGTCATGTTCGTCCGGTGAGGAAAATTGCTCGATAAGCGCCTACCGGATAAGTTTTTGGTAAACAGCCTCTAAAGATGTTATAATAGAGTTTGACCAATCAAAATTAAAATCTAAAAATAATATAGAAATTAAAATCTTAAAAGGATTATTACAACATCAACCATTTGTTTAATTTCCTTTCAAAGAAAATTGTAAAATTAAAATCTAAAAAGATTACATTTAAATTTTATTAGTTTCTTTATTTTAAAAAAAGTTCAAACATTAATTATATTATAAATATATTTAATCAATTCATATTCAACCAAATTTTAATAAAATTATAATTTCAAAATTGGTAAAGTTTTTACTCCTCATAAATATTTTAAGATGGAAAAAATATTATCAGATTCTTTTAAATTTGAAGAACTCTCCAAAAATGATTTATCATGAAATAGAAATATTATATTATTATATATTTCATCAATAAAAATCCTTGAAATCGATGTTTAAAAGAAATAAACATTATTTTACTAAATGTACAAAATATTTTAATAATTTTAATTAAATGTTGTAATATTCGAAATGATGAAGTTATCGAATCTGAGTGTAATTCTTTTTTTGGAAAAGCTCGTCACACATGATATTACACATTGTAAACAAAATTACTAGTTTAAAAGATAGTTGACTAATATGTAAAATTTTAAACATTTAAGTACTCGGGTAATCGGTTAAAGCATTAATCAGTTACCATGTTGATGTGGCAAGTGATTTGGTATCCAACTCAGTATTATTTGCTGAAGCATTAACCGGATACCACATCACTCGCCACATCAGCATGGTAACCGGTTAATGTTTCAACCTGCTACTCGGGTACTTAAATATTTAAAACATTATATTGTAGGTACCAAAATGAAAGTTTTGAAAATACGTTACCCGAAATAAGAATCAAGTTAAAATATATTATTTTTTCATGCAATTTACTAAATAAATTGTAAAAGTTTTTTACGACATGAAATGCATTTAACAGTAAGTTTGTTAAAAGTTACCATTTTATATAAAGTTTTGCTGGAAAATACCATTTTATAAAAATTTATTGAAAATTACTATTTATATAAAATTTGTTTAAAAAAGTTTATTAAAATATTAAATGCATTAAATTTATTAATAATATATTTCAAAATCTCCTAAATAGAAAATTTATTGGAGTTTAATACAATTTTTATAAAATTTTGGCTTATATTTTTCTATTTTGAAAAAGTTAGTAATTTACAGTTTTGGCCCTTGTGGTATACCAAAAAATTGTATATTGTCCCTCAACTGTAGTAATTACATTTTTTGCACTGTGATATGCATTTCATTACGGATTTGATCTCTCGAGATAATGGTTGTCTAACGGCTCTGTTAAGTGAAGGACATTTTGGTCCATTTACCCATTATTTAGAAAATCATTTAAAATCACCTTCCATCCCCCCGTTAGGTGTTGCCACATTTGATGGACCCAATGAACACGTCCTCATGACTCGTGTTTGATTTAGGGGCCGTTTACCAAACACTTATCCGATATTTGGATAAGATTTTAGTCCACCAAAACGGTATTGTATGCAACAATTTACCCGGTATAGCGTTTACCGTGGTAAGAGTCGTCGTCTTCACTTACCGGATAAGACTATTGGTCATTATCTCGCTCTTACCGGGTAAGATTCTTGATCCTTACCATATTTATCCGGTAAGGTAAAATGACTTGATGTTCACTTACCCGAGTAAGCATTTGGTAAACGGTCCCTTAGTTTATCTCATTTTGTGTCTATCTTCAACCTCATGCCATTTCGCCATTAACAGAGCAAGCACCTCAAGTCCATTTTAAGTTATAAACACGTCGTTGGTTTCATCCATGACGGTTCTGTAAAAGCCGGTGGTCGTTTTGAAACTCGTTTCTGCTTTATTTATGAAACCATAAGCTTCTTTTGAACTTGAGAGTTTGAGCATGGTTATCCCTGACATACAGATTTTAATGCTACACGTGTTACTGTTTATCCAGTTATTTCTGTTTTAACATTTTATTATACATTTTTAGCCCATTTATAATGTGTTCATCTAATTACAATGTTTTATTTTTTTAATCTTTTTACTAGTTTTCTTAACACTGGCTTCTGAAGAAGGTTATAACAGTGATTCTGCGTAGGTGAATTTTATTTGTTACTTTGTTATTTTAAGATAGTTTCGTTTTTTTTAATTTGTAAGAGTTTTAATATAATAACTGATATTTACATTTTATATATTGTTTTATTTATTACTCGTCCAATCGATCTATAATCTCGATACAAGTGTAACAAGACCTCCAAAAAGATTGGAACTGCATTAAGTTTGAGGACAATCAGAAGTCTGGAGAACCCGTTCTCTGTGGAACAGGGATAAAGATACTATCAGAGGATAGGGAGATGATGGGTGCAATACAATAAACTCGGTTTTATAAGCCGTCAAATATGTCTAAATGTTCTAATAGACAAATAATATTGTGTGTAAAAATGTTGCAACAAGTTGATAAAAAGATTTTAGACGTCCTAACAAACTTTTTATGACACTTTTTAAAATAAAGCGTCTTGCTTTTTACAGGATGATTTTTTTAAGATATTTTTCAAATAATGTCATATAAAACCCTTTATTTCAAAAACGTTTTAAATAACTTGTTGGAACGCCCAAAAGCATTAGTCAACTTATTGTAACACTATTACATATGATGCATAATTGTTTGATTATATAAAACAGTCTATTATAAGATTTAGACATATTTAACGTCCTATAAAACAGATTTTTTTCATAATGGTATGTGTATAATATAAACTATAACATTTTTTTGGTCTTGCTACCTTACTTAATGGGCCTTCTTGACTAATTTTATGTCAAGGAAGCAAATGCATATCATAGTGGCCAAAAATGTAATTAATGTATTACAAATAAGGGATCGTTTATCAAATACTTATTCGGTAGGTGCTTATCAAGTTACATTATCTTACTGATGAATATGGCAAGGACCAAGAACCTTACCCGGTAAGAGGGAAGACAAGGACCCAAAGTCTTACCTGGTAAGTGAGGACGACGACTCTTATCACAGTTAGCGCTTACCGGGTAAATTGTTGCATACGATATCGTTTGGTGGACTAAAAAATTTTACCCGATAAGTAAGTGATAGTATTAAATTTTGTCAATAAGCACTTACCTAGGTAAGCGTTTATTAATTTAATATTGAATACATTTTTTATTTTGGTGTTGTATCAAAAATTACAAATCGGGCCCTAAAATGAAATAATTGTGGAATTTGAGTCATGTGGTATGCATTTTATTGACGAATTGGTCTATCACCCTAACTCTTTGAGAAAATGTTAAGTAGAATTTTGGTCAGTTTACAAATTATTCAAAAATTATGTTAAATATTATTACGTCTCCCTCGTTCCTCCCCTTTGATCTGGGACTCCTTCCCTCCCTCATATTTCATCATCATAGCTTCAAAAATCACCGACAAAATATCTGATTTGGAGTCATCGTAGCTTCAAAATTCTAGCAAAACCTTGCCATACTTACCATATTTCAGAAACTTCGAGACAAGAGTGTCACCATGGAGGATCCATTAACTATGGCCTTAAGTTGGTTTGTAGGGTTGTACATATGTTGGATTGGCCGCTTTGAAAGTGTTTGAACAACCCAACTATTTGCGGCTTGAAAAATCTTGATCCATTAGAAAATATTTAAAGTATAACCCAATCCAACCAACTTGTAATGACATCGATTTCGACGTGTTTGACATGCCCAAATACGGAACGTGCAGCTTAGGCCGCAACCCAAGTCGCGTCTAGAGTCGCTAACCCCCATTCCGTGATTGAAAAGTTGCAGGTCGAGTTTTATAAATTCATTCAGGACCCATAATCGCTCCAGTTTTGGGCAATTTTGGGCTAGCTTATGAAACACGAAGAGCCAGAGAGACATTTGGATTGAAGATTAGAAGCTACATTTAGTCATTGCTTGTGGGTATTCAAAGGAAAAGGTTAGCACAGTTAGGCAACCACTGACTTAATGAAATTCTGAGTTTGCGTGTTAGAATTGAGATAAATCGGCATTTTGAGAGATAATCCCGTTATAAGTAAAGAGAGGGTAAAAGTGGATTGTCTATTCATTTAACTGTGTTAGGGTGATAGTTGTCCCTACTGAAAGTATTCTATGTTAAGACGAATTGGATTCCAACTCTCGACTGCCTTTTCTCGATAAAATACCAATCTTTGTTATTTCCCGCTTTTGCCTGAAATATGTTGTTTCAGTTCAGTAGTTAATCAAACCAGTTCGTTATTCCATAGTCAAATGTCATAGCAGTGATACTCAATATCGTAGTTCCTTGGATTCGATACTCGTACTTATTATGTATTACTTCACAAGGGGGAGATGTTAGAGTGGACAGCTCATGACAAAGGGAAGAGCAGGAATCGGTATTTTTGGATAAGGGTACCCCCCTCCCC